TACCATCAGTGGATGGGACTGCTAACCCCCTCCCACCCTCTTGAAGTTACGTAATAAACGGCACTTCCCTAACCTAGACGCTTACCCTAGGCGCTCACCTAACCTAACCTAACTTAAATGAAAATGATTTTTTGTTGTCGGGATTTTGGCCTGCACTCATTCACTACATACCCATACAATAACCATAAATTAAGATTAGAATAAGATTAGCTTTAGAATTAAAAAATATATAATTATAGTTCGTACTAAAATTTTGTAAAGCAATACTACAATTGGTTTATAATAAGAATTTTAATATATATATATATACGTATATATATAGTGTACTGTACAAATAGAAGTTTTTATAAATAAGTTAGGGAAGTGTTAGATATCTGCTGAATCGTAGGATGGGAGGGAGGTAGACAAAGTCTCAGGTCTAAATATATACATGAACCAATCAACAAAATAGCTAATTTTTTTTAGAGAACGGAATTTTATATTTGGGTTTTGAAGCAGAATGACTAAATTTCTCAGGAAGGAGGAAGAGAGTATGCTCTACAGTAAACTGATCTCAGCTAATATCTGACACGTCCTTTATAGTATACAGTATATATCTGAATAATTAAATTTATAAATTATCAATGACACATATTAAATACGTAACTTTCATATAGAGATGTTAACTCATTAAAGACGAGCTATATCAGTTACAAACCAAATAAACTGGTTTTAGTTAGTTACATGAAACAGTTTCTAAAATTTGTATAAACGATTTATTAATGCTAAACTATCAGTTTTGTATACCAATTTCAGACATTATAACAATCAAATTCAGACATTTGACTAATCAAATCCGGACAACTTAGCAATCAAATTTGTACATAATAGCGATCAGAATCAAATCGTAATATCTCGTGATTTTAATAATCCAAATCACGTAATTTTAGTACTATTCGACTTGTTATGTCAAGATGATACCCAAATCACGTCGTAATTTAGATCATTAGATCATGAGATATCACGATTCAATTTTGATCGCTATTATATCCAAATTTGATTGCTATAATGTATGCAAAACCGATATTTTGGCAAGTATTTTGATTGACTAAAAATTAAATATTAAAATAATATTTTTGATTGCACCAAAGGAAAATGGGACTCCAATCATATATGTTTTTATGATCGAAGTTCCATTTTTTCTTGGCGTCGCTCAAATGCATAAATGTAATAGTTACAAACCTTATACTATATAAAGTTTATATGTAGCACTTATAGTTTTATGACATATCAATAGGCGTGATAAACCAACTAGTTCAATCGGTTTTGGCTCAAACGATAACGATTTGAGTCAATGTAGTTTTATCCGAACTATTTTCAAGTTATTTAACATTTTCAGTAACTAATTGATTAACCAATTAACTATTGATTGATTATCTACATAAATCTTAAAATGTTTATGTAGTACAAAAACGTGTAATTATTTATTATACCAATCAAATCTGTTAAAAACATGTGATTATTTAGTTGCAACCTGAAAAATTTTCAACAAACTCGAAGAGAGTCATTATAGTCAATTAGAGGAAAAGAGACTTTTTTTTTTTGAAGTTTATTTTCTTTCAACTATTCTAAACCATTTTCAGTATTTGTCGTTACATTACCTGCACTATACTTTTTAATTTATGTCCTGCGATTTTGATTTGTATATGTTATTTACATGATCTAAACTTTGAAAGAGTTCTAGGTATAAGAAAGTTAAGCCAAAACCAGTCTATAATAAATTCACTAGATATAAGTTATCAATAATCTCTCAATACAAGCTTTATAAAAAAAATTTATTATGAACCCGATCGCCTTTCTTAAATCTTGTACTTAGCCCTCATCTACGCTACTGGTTATTTAGATGAAAATTTTTTTGCCTTATTAATCTTAACGTAGTGACACTAAATTTGACGTATGCATGTAACACCAAAGGTACAATGTAGTCACAAAAAGGGAAATATATCCAATAAAATTATACAAAATTTGCACGTTATAACACAAAATCTTAAAGTTGAACCAATTCATGCGCCTAGTTATTATAACGTGCAAACGTTTAAGTGACACGTGCAGAACTCAGTTTTTTCAAAGACTCTCCGTCTAAAACTTTTCTCTCTTTTAATGAAATGTCCATACCGTCGAAATTGGATACATCTTGTCCACCACTTTCAACGATAAAGTTGCCTAGGATATTGGCATCGGTTCCACCAACCTTGAAACATCCCGAGATTTCAACGCCAACTACTTTGTCACACAACGCATCAGCGTTTTCCGCTATGAATCATGTTAACAATTCTTACCAACAAGCTATGCCCACAACAGAAACTGCTGGGAAATCCTCACCAAATAAACGTGGGCGGAAACCCTTAACCACAATGCCGTCAGCTAAAAAGCACTATCAGAACTTAAAAAATCAACGAGCATTTCGTCAACGTCGAGCAGATTACGTTCAAGAGCTGGAAAGTAAAGCTTCGACATATGAAAGGTTATACAATGAACTTTTAAAAGAGAATAAAATTTTAAAAGAGAGATTGGCAATGTTAGAACGACGACATTCAACTGATTGTGAGGGAACTGATAGATGCACTAACGAACAAAAGGGTAACAAAATATCAACTAATAAAAAAAGTACAAGTTCATGTTGCAATGTTGTCGATACAACAATATATACGGTCAAACGCATTGAAGATGATCAAGTAGTTGAAGATGTCGCGTCATGTGACGAAAAATCGACAGTACAGTCTACTAGAGCGTATGTACAAACATCATACCATAAACCTGATGGCGTATCATATAATCCTTCAACAAACCAAAATTTACCTTCATTAACGCCAGACACCTTACCATCCATTAACTTTAATGAACAACCACAATTTCAGCAACTTGAAAATCACACACCTGAAGATTTTGTAATGAAGGAGCCTCTCTTCTGTACCACGGAGGAAGGTGATCTTTGTTATTGTGATCCTTCCAAAGATTCATCTAAAAGTGATAGTGGGAAGATTATTATTTCTAAAGAATTTGTATCACAATATGCAAATTCAATTCGTTCAACACATCCCGGCACTACGAACCCATTCAATAAATCTAACGAATGGCAGCCGAAACATGACTGTTGTGCACAATCACTATCACCTATGTCTACTAACCCATCAACGGCTGATGAAAGTACTTTTACTCGAAACCATCCTTTGGATCTGAATTGGATATTAGATGCTCCGAGAGAACCAAGTTGCACTGCTAAAATGTAACCAATATATTCGTGTTGGACATAAAATTAATATATATATATATATATATACATTTAGTCATTCGACATCTTTTTTTTTTCTAGACTAAATCATTTTTCCATCTCTTTCTAAGAACTCTTTCTTTTAATAAATTTACATTCGATTAAAATAGATAAATTTATATTTATATGGAAAGGAATATATATGTGTACGCGAAGTATAGACTTATTTATTTCTCAAATCTTTTGCCCTTTTTTGTACATTGTTTACTTTTTTAGTTTAATATTATTCCACACACGATATTACAACATTTGATGACATGATTAACATTATTAATAACATAATGGCGAGATTTAGATCCACCCAAACAATCTACATGTGGCATGTATATATATATTGTATATGTATATCCGATTGTTTCTAAAGCTTTTTTTTTTTTTTTTACTTGCTGATAATTATTCCACCAAACAAACCTTCTTTTTCGGTTTTTCTTTTTTCTTGTATAATAATCATTTTTCTTCAAGGTAAAAAAAGAGAGGAAGCATTGAATGAGCAATAATTAATACGAACAAAAATAAATAAGATTTGTAAGTTTTTCTTGAAATTTTGATTCAGAAATATGTCAGATTGAAATGTGTTTGAATTATTTTAAAAGTTCTTTGTAATATAATAATTATGAAGGATTCATTTATTTCGTGAAAAACTTGGTTGAACAATACATCAAAGGTATGACACCTATTGATTGACCAAGTTGTTCTTGACTTCACAAGTTACTACATTACATACTTTAATACTTCGGAATAAAATTTTAGATGAATGCAAAGATTATATATTTAATAATTTTATATTGTACTGAAGAATTGGGACACACTAGTGATGCGGTAAAAATGATTTTCGTAATAAGCTTTAGCTAGTTACGGCTAAAGCCGTAGCATCATTGGGACGATTCTACCGCATCACTACTGCATACAGTTATACATGGGTGTCTAAATTATTTTTGAAAAATCATATTTTTGGCAAAAATTTCGGCATTGCTAAATTTTTATATGAACCCACT